AATGGAGTGTATTACGAGGTGTTATGACACCTTTCTCGTGGATTTGTGTAATTTTAGTTGGGACGAGTGGTGTTTACCTGGAGAGAGTTCCGGGGGTCAACGCCCCCGCGGCCCGGTCTGTGACCAGGCCTCCTGGTGGATCAGAGCCTGATCAACCAGGCTGTTGCTGCTGGCTGCACGCAAACCAACGTATGAGCCACAGCCCGGCTGATCAGGAACCGACTTTAGGTGCTTGTCCAGTGCCAGCTTGAAGACTGCCAGGGGTCTGTTGGTAATCCCCCTTATGTATGCTGGGAGGCAGTTGAACAGTCTCGGGCCCCTGACACTTATTGTATGGTCTCTTAACGTGCTAGTGTACGTTCCTTGACTGACTAATATGTGGTTTTGGCCATTCCCAAGCCAGTTTAGGAGGCTGCAAGCTACTAACCAATCTCTTTGACTAGATGCATCTGTAATTTCATAAAAAATGTTGAATGTTTTATGGTTTGGTATTTGGAGACAACTACCGCAAACTCCAGTCGATGACAGATGCCCTGGTAAAGCTGGCTGGCAATATCCACTAATATATGATGGCCAGCAGCCATCATATATTAGTGGTCTTCAGTATGGAGAAGCCTTGTGACACCACATGGAGATTTGACATTCATTGCTGTCTCCTGTCTTTGGTGTGACCGAGGGGCCTGTTTCCAATTTCCCCAGTCGTTTGAATAACAGGTTGTTAGGTAAGAGTTGATTCATGATACTCTTGAGTTTTTTCCAGAAGGATGGAATCTCACAGGCTAACGTTTTGATTACAGATTTCATTGTGGCACAAATAGTGTTATCCCCAACTGCATCAGGTCCTCTTTGTATGTAATGTAGATGATCTGGTGGCATACTTCTCAATATCGGCTCTAGAAATTGATCTGTTACTATCTCAGAAACTGCTGTGGGTGGTTAGGTTTTCCACTTGGACGATGGTAGCAGTTCATTTTACTTAGATCTAGTTGAGGTCATCTGCTCCCTATGGGATCTTTCTTGAAGTAGTTCTTCCCTGTAAGCATCAAGTCATGTTCCTGGAGATGGCCCAGACCCTGCAGGGAGGTTCTCGATCTGAAGGACAAAACAGAGGCATGGTAGGCATTGGATATCTTGAAGGTGTGTCTGCACTGCACCTTGGGTGCAGACTGGTAGATTATGCTTCATCTGTATGCATGCTTGTGTCACTCCAGGCTCAAGTAAGGCTGCCAGGTCTTCTCCTTGGCCTGCCCTTTCCTACTGCATTTGCTGGATCCCTTTCACTACCTGGGAAATCTGCTTTGCACTGGAGCATTGCAAACATCCTATGTTGAGAACCTCTAGTAAACTGCTAAATATCCACTATCAAGAGCCAGGGGTCACCTGCTTTGGGTTTGGAGCATGCATGGCAACCTTCTTCAGCGCTGCGAAGAAGGCTCCTTCTCCTGGTTAAACACAACTCTCCATGCTCTCATGTTCTGATATAGGGCCCCTCTCTTGGACTGGATGTTTCTGGTATCATGGAGGTTGGTTTCTCTCCCTGCCCTCCTTGAACCATAATAGAGGTGAATCTGTAGCCAGCAGTTGGGTACCTCTGAGTGCCTGGCACCTGCAGTGATAGTTTTCAATTTCCATGAGCATAGACAGCAACCATCAAGGGAGGTACCATTCTGTCAGATGCGCGAAACAATCTTATTAAATATTATTCACTGACAGAATGGATTGCTGATCTTTTTATGTCTCATGAACATGTGAGATGGCAGCTAAATCTTACAAACATATACTTACATTCGGTATACTGTACACACTTCGTTTTTCTGACTGTTACTTGATAAGTTTTAAATTTGTAATATTTGTTCGGGTGATGGTCATGATTTTGAGGATTAACGTATTTACTGATAGGTCAGAAAGCTACAATATTTTCAAGTGGGTTTTGCTATATTCATTAATATAACTCAAATGTCCAGCTACCAAGTGAACCTTCAGTGTTCACTTGGGAAGGAAGGGAAAAAAGGTTCCACGCCATTCTTACTCATCTTGTTCTGGTTGTTGGCCATAGAAAGTCCCACTTTTCTGTTCACTCACTCAGAGTGCTTTGCCTGGCCTGGTACAGCATGCTCCAATTTACTGTGTGTTTCAGAATAGCCACGAGTGGCTCACCTGTCTCCATGCCTAATACATGATTACAGAGTTCTGTTGGTGCCCTTGTTGTGTTGAGATCCAGTGTAATGAAAGGGTAGATGTGAAGGCTAGGCTTGCTGTATCGAGCATGTTCTACAACAGACCTCTGCCTCACAATAGTATGTCTACCCATGGGTATGTCTACCCATGGGTGAGAAACAAGTCGGTTCTCTGAACCATTCATCTACAGTCCTGTCAGACACTGCATCTTCTTGGGATCTTAATACTTGGGAATTCTTTGCTTGCCTAACCCTTGGGCATGACCTACTTCCACATTGGTCAGATGTGATACCACCTACGACTGCTGCACCTCTCCTCCCTTCGGTATAAAAGCTACTTCTCCGCAGATATGCTGTATTCTTTTCAAGGTTGATGGACTGACTACATCGACTCAAGGCTGAGGGACTGATGAAGCCACTGTGTGGCGAAACGTTTCCTCAATAAAGATACCCAAGGGTTGCACATGTGTCTAATTTACCAACGTGTCGGTTCTCTGAACTATTCATCTACAAGTTATGTAGGTTTTTTCCTGGACGTGTTTTGCTCTTTTTTTTCTCAAGAATTGTCAAAATGAGATGACACATGCACACACACATACGGGGCCAGGAGCTATGAATCGACCTCTGCAACCACAATTAGGTGAGTACACAGAGGGAAGGCACTGTAATGGACCAGAGAAGACCTGACGGATTAGGCAACAGTGAGTCATGGTATGTGATGAGGTGTCGGAGTGGGTACCTGTGACGAGCGGGGTTCCACATGGGTCAGCCCTAGGACCAGTACTGTTTCTGGACGGAAGGAATAGATTCAGAAGTATCCCTGTTTTCAGACGATGTGAAATTTATGAGAATTCAGTCGGAGTAGGATAAGGCAGGACTACGGAGGATCTGGACAGGGTGCAGGCCTGACCCAGCAATTGGCTTCTGGAGTTCAACTCCACCAAGTGCAAAGTCATGAAGATTGGGGAAGGGCAAAGAAGACCGAAGACAGAGTACAGTCTAGGGGGCCAAAGACTACAAACCTCACCCAAGGAAAATAATCTTGGAGTGTGTACAATACCGAGCACATCTCCTGAGGTGCAAATCAACAAAATAACTGCTGCAGCATATGGGCAACTAGCGAACGTAAGAATAGCATTCCGACATCTCTGTAAGGAGTCGTTCCAGACCCTGTACGCAATATACATCAGGCCCATATTGAAGTATGCAGCTCCAATTTGGAACCTTTACCTGGCCAAGCATGTCAGGAAACTAGAGAAAGTGCAAAGGTTTGCAGCGAGACTTTAGTGCCGGTGCTAAAGGGCATGTCCTACGAGTAGAGGTTAAGAGAACTCGACCTGACGATACTGAAGGACAGGAGGGACAGTGGGGACATGATAACGACATATAAAATACTGAGAGGAATCAACAAGGTGGACAGAGTCAGGATGTTCCAAAGATGGGATACAGCAACAAGGATTCATGGCAATATAAACACAAATGCAGTATAATGTGATCCTTTATTGACTACGTTTCGCCCACACAGTGGGCTTTTTCAAGTCACAAACAGAACTACCTGGGGTGGAAGGAACGCGAGTATTTATAGTCCGGCTGAGGTCAGGTGAAGAATGCTGCATCTGATGATGTACCGAGTTGGGTTGTAGAGTCTAAAAACTTGGGTAGCTTGGAAAGGAGACTGGACAAGTTTGTGAGCAGACCTTCTACAGTGTTCTTATGTGGGATAGAGATGAAGAAGTTTCTTGGCAAGTGGTTCAGCTATGTTATAGAAGCCACTATTCTGGTTGAAGTTGTCGGATATAGAAATAAGTGATGATTCCAGGATTCTTCGGTATTGAGTGTTGTCTTCTGTGGCGATAAGTCTTGAGTTTCTGTAGTTTATCAAGTGGTTGTGTGAATTACGGTGTTGTACGCAGGCATTCCTTGTGTCGTCAGACCTGCTTGCGTATTGGTGTTCACACAACCACTTGATAAACTACAGAAACTCAAGACTTATCGCCACAGGAAGTGGAATAGCCTGGAAAGTGATGTATTGGAGGCAGGATCCATAAAGCTCACGGAGCAGGGAGAGAGTGACCTAGTAGCGACCAGTGAAGAGGGGGCCAGCAGCTATAAGTCGACCCCTGCAACCACAATTAGGTGAGTACACACGCATGCGCGCACATGCACGCAAGTGTGCACCCCACACAACCTCCACAACCCCACACACACACACACACACACACACACACACACACACACACACACACACACACACACACACACACACACACCTGACGACACTGGACAGGAGAGATAGGGGGGACATGATAACGACATATAAAATACTGAGAGGAATTGACAAGGTGGACAGAGACAGAATGTTCCAGAGATGGGACACAACAGCAAGGGGGGACAGTTGGAAGTTGAAAACATAGATGAATCACAGGGATGTTACGAAGTATTTCTTCAGTCACAGAGTAGTCAGGAAATGGAATAGTTTGGGAAGCGATGTAGTGGAGGCAGGATCCATTCATAGCTTTAAGCAGAGGTATGATAAAGTTCATGGTTCAGGGAGAGTGACCCAGTGAAGAGGCGGGGCCAGGAACTATGAATCGACCCCTGCAACCACAACTAGGTGAGTACATACACACACACAGTCACCTGCTTGTGAGTGCTCTTGCCATGAGTGGCTTGCGTCGCTGAATCGGGCATATTTTAACTTCCCACTACTTTGGCCTCTTTTGTACAATTCATGGGTTTTATAATTACCCGAGTACCTGTAGGGACAGTGGGAATATGTTACATGACTTAATGTTAACAGTCTGATATAGTTTTTTGATTTACCTGGATATACCTGGAGAGGGTTTCGGAGGTCAACGCCCCCGCGGCCGAGTCTGTGACCAGGCCTCATGGTGGATCAGGGCTAATCAACCAGGCTGTTACCGTTGGCCGCACGCAACCCGACGTTCGAACCACAGCCCGGCTGGTCAGGTACTGACTAATGACAGTATATATTAGTTTGTTAGCATGTTTTTTTTTTCTTTAGAGGCGGTGACGGGGGGTTGTGGTAGTGTGTGTCCGTGTACAGGCGAGTGTAGAATCTTTTATTCATAGACCACTAATTGACCTTTTGGTCCTAGTGCTCTCTGTAAATTTTAAAACTAATGTTTTATTTTGCTTGTTGGTTTCGTTTACTATTGATAATCATGAAGAATATCTTACTGCGTATCCCATCTTGATTGAGGGAGAAGGTGCAGAGATGGAAGATAGTGAGGAATGATGGAAGAAGTTGTATTTTCCAATTGAGCAAAATTGGATACATAACGTAATGAGAATTGCCAGTCTGAGCCTAGAGATTTCAGTAAGGCGATGAGGGTATCGTCAAGTATTGCACTATGGCTGACGATGTCATAACAACACGATTGCAAACAAACCACAGACCTGGTGAGGTTTGAACCCATGCCAAGTGAATCCTAAAAGTCCAAACCAGTGAACAAACCTAAATGGTTATAACTATAATCATAATTTTTAGAGGGGTTAACCGGTAATCCAGTGGAAGGCATCGGTCAGATGACTGATGGTTTGATTGCACTATGGGTTCAATAGCTACGGGAACTTCAAGAATTTCGTTCCCGTAGATATAGCTGGAGTTACTGCTGCGTGGGACTTAGTATCTCTCATGAGGGATGGAGTAGGATGGTGGATAAATAGGGAGAAAGTAAGCGGAAGGAAAGTAGAGGGGGGGGGGATACAGGCTGGGAATGAAGTGATAGTGGGGCGGGTTGTGGAATCAGGGAGAAAATGAGTAAATAAGAGGGAAAGAAGGGAGGTTTCAAGATGGTGGCGGGGATGGGAGGGTCACATTGTGGCGGTGGAATCAACAGTAAATTTTTAAGAACAATACAACCTGCACATAGGAGAGTGAAACTTATGGCGACGTTTCTGTCTGATTTAGACCATTAACTAGTCACACAGAAGCGCGAAAGAAAAGGAGCCAGTTTATATACAAGAGTCAGAGAGGAGTGTTAGCGAAGCAATAGTAGTAGTGGAGGTAGACTTAAGAAAAAGAAAAAAAAAAGCACTGCAGGAGAGGTGATGGCCCGTGAGGGTAGGACTGAAGAAGTCACTAATGGCGCAACGTTTCCTCTAATAAACGTCTGAACTGTACGTTGTCTTTTTCCACATCTTGTCGGTATCACCATGCCATTTTTCCAGGGGAGAAAACTCGTAGGGCAGAACCCTTCTAGGCACGGAAATATAGGAAAGGAAAAGAGATAATGAGAGAGGGGGATAAAGATAAGATCAAGTCACGAATGTCTGAGGTTTGGAAATATTTCTAATACAGTGAATCAACTTCGGCATCCTTTTCTGTTTTCTTGTGCGTTTGTGTCTAAATTTAGAGTATAACCTGAGGATTCCTATTATTTATATTTCTTGATATGAAGCCAAGAATTCTATTAGCTTTATTACCAACACTTATGCACTGTTGTCTTGACTTAATTTTTTTAGATTAGGTACACCCGAGTGGCGCGGCTGCTCTATTGTGTATAAGACTGCAGTGTGGGAACAAAAGCTAGTTATGTTTACCCGCGGTGGTAATGCAGGTTTTTTTTTTACCAACATAATTAGATATACAGAAGCCTTATACCCAACACTTAATATCTCCAGCAGGTTCTATTGTTTTCTTACGTAGTATGTGACATTCCAGTATGACTGGAGCTTTCTAACATTTTTTTCATGGATGTTACCAAAAAATAGTCTGCTAACACAGGTGCATATTTTGATTGCTACGTGGGCAGGGACAACAGAGTTATAAGGAAACTTGGTCATATTTTTTCCCCATGCCAGGTAATCGAGCTTTGTCCCTTGCGATTTTAACTCGAAATGCTCCACCAGTGAGCATTTCCCCACCACTGGCGGTGATGCGAGTGGTGGGGAGGTGGAGAGAGACGGGAGGAAGGAGGTTTTCTTGGAAGTCGAGTAGGCTGGGGATTTTTCCCCGGGGCCGGCCCTCGGCCCTACAGGGAGATGGAGACAGGAAAATTAGTTCCATTATAGTTATTTATTTGAATCGGTATTTAAGTATTCAACTAGAAAAAAAAACGAAATATATTTTTACGTGGTCTTTAATTGTTTAGTTGAGCTAAAATGACCTGGAGACTTTTTTTTTTTCATTTTAACTCCAGAGTATTAATGTTAACCCAAGAAAGCTAAACAGTGGGGCTAATTTCTGTTGAGGTCCTTTAGTTTTTTTTTTTTACTAGGAAGCGACTCACAATAGCTAACATACTCCGAATTATATAGTTATTGCTAGGTCAACAGGGGCAGCAGGTGTTGGATTTCCTCCTACGTCACGTCCCGCCACTGATTGAAGTGACTCGTTTTGTTTGAGCTGCGAGGTACCTTGACAGATTACCACTACGACTTGAAATTATTAAAAAGGTTTGATTCAGCACTGATGAGGGGAAAACGGGGCAACATACTTGTACAACATATGAGAATCTTTATTGAAGAAACATTTCGCCACACAGTGACATTTTCAGTCCAGTATAAAGCAGAAAGATGTAAGGAGAGGAGGAGTTTGAGGTAATCAGTCCCTCAGTCTGGAATCGATGTGTTCAGTCCATCTCTCTTATAGAAAGTACAACATATGACCGGAGAAGTGGCATTTATACTGTAGTCAGGTGAGTCGAAGCAGGAGGCGGCGGGATCACAGTGGAAACATCCACTAGTGTAAGTAGGCCTTTGTCCAATGTTTGGACAAATGTTGAAGAATTCCCCTCCTCCTCCTGCTTCGACTCGCCTGATTACAGTATATTATAAGCCACTTCTCCGGCCCTATGCTGTACTTTCTACAAGAGTGATGGACTGAACACATCGATTCCAGACTGAGGGACTGATTACCTCAAACTCCTCCTCTCCTTGCACCTATCTGATGAAGCCACTGTGTGGCGAAACGTTTCTTCAGTAAAGATTCCTCTATGTTCCATTAGTGTCTCAATCTTCAACTTGTTGGTTTTCAAAACCATTTATCACAGCATACTTGTAGTTCAGTGGTAGGACGTTCGGCTCAACCCAGTGGACCCAGCTTCGATTCTCACACTGGCTGAGATCCCATGTATCAGAAACCTTCCCTATGAGGATAGACTAAGGGCCCTGAATCTGCACTCTCTAGAAAGACGTAGAATTAGGGGGGATATGATTGAGGTGTATAAATGGAAGACAGGAATAAATAAAGGGGATGTAAATAGTGTGCTGAAAATATCTAGCCTAGACAGGACTCGCAGCAATGGTTTTAAGTTGGAAAAATTCAGATTCAGGAAGGATATAGGAAAGTACTGGTTTGGTAATAGAGTTGTGGATGAGTGGAACAAACTCCCGAGTACAGTTATAGAGGCCAGAACGTTGTGTAGCTTTAAAAATAGGTTGGATAAATACATGAGTGGATGTGGGTGGGTGTGAGTTGGACCTAATAGCTTGTGCTACCAGGTCGGTTGCCGTGTTCCTCCCTTAAGTCAATGTGACCTGACCTGACTAGGTTGGGTGCATTGGCTTAAGCCGGTAGGAGACTTGGACCTGCCTCGCATGGACCAGTAGGCCTTCTGCAGTGTTCCTTCGTTCTTATGTTCTTATGTTTGTCTCCTTACACATGCTGCCCATGTACATTAATCAGTAAATAAGTATTTGGGTGTTAGTCAGCTGTTGTTGGCAGCATCTTGGGGAAGGGAGGAAGGGAATGGTAATATAATTTAAACTGGGCTGGGTTTAAAATGAGCCAACGTAAGATAACCGCTCTTAACTTGTAAATTAAACTGCGTAAAAAATCCTTCCCTGGGGCTCATAGTGATGATGGGCTGCATCATGGCTCTCGGCAGTTCCGTCTGGGGAAGGGAGGGGTGGTTGGTACAGAGAAATGTGAGAAGGCCAGAGAGGGAGAACAACGGGAGTAAGAATGTGAGGGGGAAGTTAAAAGCCTGTACAGGTTATACAACGCTTGGGGAATGGGAAGCATTTTGGTTCGATCCAGTGAAGATGAGGGGACAAGTCCTATCACAGTTTCTTGGATCAAGAGCCCCTCATTATCAAGGAACCTCCCTTGAGAGGTGGGATAGAAAAAAAAGGCAGAGGTGGGGGTAGATGGAGGAAGAGCGAAAGCGTGCACTTACTTCGTTAAGTTTTGAGTGTTGAATTCTAGTTCTTGGGCCCGATTCTTAATTCTAGGTTATTGGTATTATCTAGTTATGTCGTCTTTACTTCTGAAATTCTGTATATATTCAATTTATACTATGTTGGTATTTTATTGCATTTTACAATCCACTCACTGTAAAAATTATTCTTGGCTTCTAGTTGATTTGGGTGTTAAATTCAGTGTCTTTCCGATGTGCACACGCGCGCCCCACGTGTTATTAGGGTTCAGTTCAAGAATTAGGGCATAGGCAAGTCTCCTTAATCTTGGTGCCCCTGTTCCCCTAGTAATGTATAAACATCTGGATGTTAGTTGACTGATGTGGGTCGCATCCTGAGCAAAAAACTGTAAAGGGAAATTGTGTAAAAGAACTACATATCTCCATACTGTTATATTCATGAGAGGCGCTAAACCCGTTAGGTTCACGGCGCCTTGTAGAACTGGAGGCAGTCCGATTCGATCCAAGGAAGGGGAGGGAAGTTTCAGTTACTTGAATCTGAAGCCCCTCACAGACGTCAAGGAAACTTACCTTGAGGGGTACAGGGAAGATAGTTTGGCAGCTGATACGACGACACAACAGCTTGTGAATAACAACTGCCTGATGCTCTGTTAAAAAAAAAATAGCCATAACATCCAATGTATCTATTAGTACTTAAAAAGGAGGAAATGCGGTTTATGATTATCATTATACGCAAGTCACGTGAGTTACTTCACTTATTAATGTCTAGTCAAATGTTAAATTAATCGCGTTTTAATTGTTAATGTAGTCAGTGTTGTATGGGTAACTTGATAATATACCAGTTTATGTAGTGTTGTAGATAATCTGAATTGTAATTTGTATCGTGCATGTTGATGACTGAGGTTTGTCAGCAATTCCGACTAGGCAACTCACTGGATGGCACTCTTTGTTTATTTTAAGAACGATTCTGCGGTTTAATTTTCCCCCCTCATTATTATTTATCTGTTTAATTTGTTCTTCTTGTCTTTAATTCCACCCGTTTGGCGAATTATATACATATAGAAGAGAAGTACGCTAATTTGAACGAATTTGTAGGTACCGTGGGCGACGTTATAACTCGGGTTGCCGAGGGAAAAGTAAAGAAGTGCATAGTTTTGTTTTTGGCTTGGGTAGAGGTGATATACACAGGTGTGGGACTCCCTAGTTTACTCGTATTCTCGCTGTGTGTAGCTAGCTAGTGTCTGGTGTACTCTCTCCTAACCAACACTTTACTCTGCCATAATAATTGATAACCTCTTCTTATTAAAAGGTATGGATGGTTTTTTAATATGTATTTATAATTAATTATGAGCTAGATAAAGCGGTGTCTGTCTATTCGTATGATCGAATGGCTGTCATTCCTAAGTGTCGCCACAGATTCTGAGGTAAAATTATATACAGAAAATGTTGTAAATTAGTTGTGGTGGATGGTAGTAATAATTATAATTAAGATTGTTTAGTATGGACCCCATGCCATTGTGAAACCGACCAGGAAGCAAACTACGCGTGGAAGGTTGGGGGTTGAGCTAGATCTGGATA